CCATTAAATTAGCTTTCGATAGTTTTTAGATTCGAGCTTCTCTTTTTCCCTCGTCACAACAAAGATAATACGCAGCTAAGAAATATTGGTAACATAGAATATTTGTAACTATTCGGTTCTATCAGAACTTTTCAGCATTTCCAAAACACCCAGCGGGGGCTCATGTCACATCAGGAGACGGCGCAAAATTAAACAGTTAGCCACAACGGTGTCAATCTAACGATTTATCTTACAATAGCAGAGCTTTTAGTGGGTTCATTTTCGTTTGAGACCTAGCTACATGCTTAATTATCCTGACCCGTGATATATTATTGTTTTTCTTTTCTCACGTTCTCACCCTTCAGGAGAAACCTCGATCAGACATATAATGATTGATAAAAGAAAAAAATATCTGTTAAGCAAACAAATATACCCACGCCTTATTCGTGTTTTTTTTTTTTAAGTACTTTTTTAACTAGTACCCGAGCGAAAAACTCGATGCGGAACGAATGCCGGTCATATACTAATTTTATTGTCGATTTATGTTACAGGGTTTTTTTTTTATGACACAACTAATGAATAGAACAATGATAATACAGTAATGCAATATAGTGCAACAAGAATTCATAATATAAAATGCCTGATAACTAGGCTATTTCGAGCACCCAGCCGGTGATTGAAGCTACGCTTGATAAACGGCCGAGAATAGATTAAAACGCTGACATACTACCATCTGCACAAGGATGCATATACTTTCTACATGATAAATTTTTCTATTTCGATAGCGTAAAATAGTTGAAATCATATGTAAAGATTATGGTTGGGGCCATGTACTGCATCTCGCGCCTTGATAATGATTGATAAACGTAAACAGATTAATCGGTCATCAAAACTAATCAGTCGACCACCGATAAATATTGATGTCTAATATTATGTAAGATCGTAATGGCTAGATTTGGGATATTCTTGAACTTTGTTACGATATATAGAAATTACGATTATAAAACGGCAAATAAAAATATTAATTGTAACAACAAAGGCATCACATTCTGACATGCGCATGCCAAATTCGATCTATGTACATGTTGCAAAGCATTACATTTGCCCCCATAAAGCTTTCCTTAATCCGTATCTTAATTGCGCCAAACAGTGAAACAGCATGGTAGAATTATTGACAATAGCAATCATTATATTACAGAATAAGGCGGAACAGAAGTCAGGATAGGGCATAGAGCAAAGCCACCTGTGAAAGGCTGCTGTAATAGCGTTCACTTCCGTTCATCTCAGTGAGAGTGGCCTTCATTTTGAGCACTGAAACCGCTACTCTTACCGGCGTCACCCACAAAAAAGTTTCAGGCCTGCTGGGGTCCATTGTAGCGCGCGATGAAAACTACGAGGTTGCCCAGTGCAACCAGAGGGCAAAGCAATAGCCAAGAAAATCAAGAGGCATTTTTCTTCACCGCATGCGCTTACTCCTCTCTTTGCACTCATTTTGGAGAGTACTCTGTCGCAACAGCAATGCTGCTATTCCGGAACAGTTAGCATCCTCCACGTGCTTCGCTGCCATCTCAATCTTTTCACTTAAACTAACATTTATATTGTCTAGTCGAACATTGGCTTTCTGCATCCCAACACGTGAGAAGCAGGCCGCCTTTATGCTTTGCGCGGAAGGTACCATCTTTCTAAAGATGACACCAATAGCTATACGTTACCAAGAAACAATACGGTAACAGAGATGAAGGAAAGAAACATTTTTTCATTAACTTTGTTGAAGTTGTGCTAAGTTAATTTAATTATCTACGATGCCGGTGCGCATGGAATAACGATTATTGTTATCCTGCAAGCGGCAATAAGATCGGAAGAACCTTGAGCTTCTAAATTAGAGAAAGTTTGCTTTGTTGGACTACAGCACACACTGTCATAGATATAACGAGTACTTAGGTGGCGTATATGGATGACCAGTCACCTATAATTTTGACAGTGGACGTCGTAACACGTAAAACGTTCTCTGAAATTTATTGCCTCCTTACATTTCATTGATAAAAGGCATTTTAGGTACTTGTGCTAAGATATCTAAGCCTAGCGGACATAGTAGTGTCGGCCTCGATCGGTGTTTCTGCGGAACCCTCAAGGTAATAGTCAATTGGACGGTTATACAGTAATAAAGCAAGTTTACATTTCAGTATGCAAAAACAAATATGCAAAGAGAAGCCGGACACGACACTGCTTTGTTTTTAAAATAAAGCAACTTCCAATTTTCCACCTGTAACAGCATGTTTGCCTATCAAATTCGGGAGCACAAGGGATGGTCTAGATTTGGAACCAAACTAGGACGCACTTTATTTCTTGCCGGGGGTAGCTTTGTGGAGCAATGCTTATCGTCGATACATAGCGTAAAGCTTGGCGCATCTGTTAGCGACTTTTATTAAATAGACATCTCGTTTTTTGTTTCCTTAACTTTAGTGCTCCGCACCATCGGTGGGACTTGAACCGGTGACCCCTGGTCTTATTCAACCTTTGGGTTTCGCACCTAAAGCATCGAGTGATTTTTAACCAAATGAAATATGTCATTTCACAAACAGACCAATAGAACCTTGGTATGACTCGTACAGCAAATAGCGGACTCGAGCCAGCAGTATCCTTTAAGTAGCCCAGGGGGCAGTCCTGTCGACTGATAGCTCATTTTAAATTAACGCCAGGCATATGGAAGAAAGCACATCGCGCATATATTTCATGATTGATGTTTACTATAATTAACTTATTTATACAATGGTGCATTATTTACCCATCATTGTCTACTGAGATCACATTTCATAGATGGAGTACTTAAAATTAGTGTACTAATTGAACTCATGCTAGTAAAGTAATATACTTTATATAACTTCTTAATTTAGCTGTGACTTGGTGCTACATATAAAGCAGTGAGCGCTTAGGCTGCGCGCTTGTAATGCGGACCTATAACCTGAGTGCCGTTTAGAAGGGACCACTTTTAGTTGCCATTGCATACAAAGGGTTGAAATAAAAAAGGTGAAAGGAATTGCCAAATTTGATTATGAGCAAAAGAAAATGAAGAAAAAAAAATGATTCAAAGAACCAATTCTCTCTTTGTAGGTCAGCATTAATTTAAAGCTCGACTACTTCACGTGTTTCTCACTCCTTATTAATAGGATTTATGATGTGGCACATTTTGAGTATTTATCAGCAGCTAATGAATAACAACCAAGTGAATAGAGAATACAGTACACAAAAATCCGCAAGGTGCGTCGACCTGCCGAATGACTGAGCGGTACTCTAATACCAAGATTATTGAAATCGACGCCTTTAAGTAGCAGCAGCCAGCGAGCTATGAAACAGGGAATGCCAGTTCACTTTTCCACAATAGAATACAAGTTTGTAGTGTAAAGAAATAGTAGAGTGCAGGCTTTAAAAAGGGGCCATGGGCTGATGGGCCTTAGTATGGTTGGTGGAAAGGAAATCACTAACCTCGTAGCAACCCCCACTGCGGACGTAGAGGCGGCAGACCATGCCGGGAAACAGCCAATCCACGAGGTAACGCAGGATGCAGCCTGCAACGACTTCAACGTCAGCCCAATAGACGAAGCTACCGCCAAACAGAACCGCGTCAGAGTGAACGAAAACGAGGTGGATCTAGAGAGAGCAAAATGAGAAGACTGCGAGAGGGACATGGGAAAAGTCTTCGGGAGAAAAACTGGGAGAGATCGCAGACCGGGAGACAGAAATGGGACCAAGCTGAGCACCCTCCTCCCCCGCTCCGGGGTCTCGGGGAATCAGATTGAGAAACACAGAGAAAGTAGGAAGAGCGAGATACAGAGTGAGAGAAAGAGGCACAGGAGGACTAAAGCCCCCGCGCGAACGCTCGCGGCGACGGCAGAAACGGCAGCGGCGGGTTGCCTGCGAGGGTCATTCATTCAAACTCTTGATTTAGTATTATTGCCTACGATGGGGACGGGAAAAGGAAGGCATAGGCATAGCCACAGCAGAAAGGGCGTTAGCCGAGAGGGGATTGGCTGGTTGGGCTGCCCACTGCTGCTGCCACAGGCTGACTGGTGAGCCCCCATCGTTTCTGCGGGTGCCACCACCACTGAGTTTACCGCTGCCGCCGAAGCTAGCACAGCCATTGCCATGCTGTATAGACAGCCAGTGGCGCTACTGCCTAGCCAGTCAACAACCTCCGGAAGCCCCATGCTGAAGCACAGCTTAGGCCGCTAACATATAGGATAGGTGCCTGCAGACATAGGGCATGAAGCATATAAGTATTTAAGCTGTGGGCCATTATTATTATCATTACCAAAGGAGGACAATCTGATGGCCGCCGACAACAGCCCATGAAGGGATGATAACCCAGATCCGTTGGCTGCTGGAACTCTTCACAGCAACCATTCGTGCCTTTGTTACAGAGAGTAGTATGGTCGCCTATGGTATTGTTGTGGCCGTTGTCCTAGATGGCTGTCATCGCTGACTACTACGCCAGCGGCGGTGGCGGGGGCAACGATGACGGGCTGCCGCAATGAACGAAAGCAAATGGAGGAGAAGCGGTGGAGAGGTGGGGGTCATGTGGGGGAATATGTAGAAGTCTATGACTGGACAGCGAAATAGAGAGAACGCTGAGGATTCTGTGACTTCTTTGTCTCTCTCTCTGGTGCGCGTCACGATCTGCTTATTTCTTTCTGTAGCAGTGGATATTTGCGCCAACCTCGCGCACTCCACACATACAGTCGTTCCACCCCATCCGCCCTCCTTCATCGCGCAATGAACTATGACCACTCACTGCTTACTATGACCAGGTGCTGCCCTTGTGACTTTGTGTGTGCTATGAGTTTCACTGTGTGACAGACAGAGAGAAGCACACTCAGATGAAGTTCACAGAGACTTCGTTGGTTTAGCAGCTTCGGAAACAGCTATGTAGCAAACATGGCCTGAGTTCGCCGGCAGGCATACAATAAACACAACTAGACAATGTAGGGCAACAATAATATCCGTAGGGGCATAGACATACATACGCATTTATACAAAGTAGGCACTGCAAACAGTTGAACTTTCTGTTTTCTATTGTCCGATCGAATTTCGGTTTTTGATAGACGAGTACAACGGAGCAGAGCAGTGCCACAAAGAGAATTCTGAAAAGAACGGAGCGAAAGAGATTATATATTCAAACGCGTGCTATCGGTAGACGTTAAGAGAAAAAAAGATAAATGATAAGAAGCCGGGACGAAGGAAAGTTAAGAGAAATTCGAACCTATGTTTAAATCACACTTAAAATATTCCATAAATGAAGCAATTCGTCTTAGACATTTAATTGTAGTATCTAAAATAAGAAACATCGTAAACTGTTGCGTCAAGCACGGGCAAATAAATGTGAGTAAGGTACCAAGAGCTACCGTTTGTAAATCGTCCTTATCAATAGATGGTATCCAATAGTTACTACCATCCTTTACATGAATTCCCCTTCAATGATACAAAACAGCCACCAAATCTTCAATGTGCCATATTCTTTTAATCGCTCAAGAGCCACGTACAAGTGAAACCGGTGAAGTTTTAGTCAGCAAGCGACCAAAGCCCACTCTCACTAGTAGTTGCTTCTCTCTTCGTGCACTCGCACAGTCAAACGTTACGCGTTGGCTGGCTTAAAAAGTTGAGCATTCAAGCCCCATCCAAACTGGGCAGCTACCAAATGCGTCCGCTCGTCTCTTCGTCTTCAACGGGCTCCTACGGTCGCTTCGCTACATTCGCCGCTAGCACATGCCCCTTCCTTCCGGCTATCCCCGGCCACGGCCCACTTGCCTCTTGCTCAGCAGAGTTTCTCAATATGCTATCGTTCACCTTGTGGCCGGCAGCCTGGGTTTCACCCATGACGCTTGCTGTATTGTCGAGAAGCAAACTTAGCTTTGCTTAATCAGGACTCTATCGGCCGTCCGGGCTCCGACTATCCTGTCTGACCATCCTCCTTTTTTTCTAAGCCCGAACGCACTCCTGCCAAGCTTCCTTGCTACGCCACCGTGTAAGCTTCATTCTTGCGTCCGCTTTAAGCTGCGACCGCTAGCAGCGTTTCTTTCGCTACTAGCAGCAGCAGCGGCGTATGTTCCACATCGTTCTCCTCCTCTTTCTCGTGCTAACCAGCCAGGCCAAAGCTAACGTAGATTGCGTTTTAGCGTGCCAGCTAACTAACTAACGAAAGAACGCTCAAAACGAACAATAGCCAACACTGCTACCACGAAGACCATCGCCAGTTCGGCTCTGCCGGTTGGCGGCCAAGTTTTTTTTGTTTATTTAAACGAACCAACTCGTTCTTCTTTACGACGAAAACAGGGGGAAGAGAAGATGGGGAAACTCTAGAGTCTAGCCAAGCGGGGTCCAGTTCCCCACCCAGCGGACGCGTCAACATTGCTCCACGAAGGAACCCACAGGGCTTGGCCTGAGAAGCGACGGTGGTGACCCAAAGATCACTACAGCCATATCACCCCCGTCAGCATAACACATTCCCGGACTGAACTCACCCGAGCGTCGCGCACGAACGCAACCAACTAGTTCCAGTGAACAAGGAAAGACGCCTGTGTTGAGCACACAAACTTCTCGCTAGTCATTCGGTCGGTATTGGCTTATTACGCAGTCGAGCTGTGAGCCGCCGGCTTGCGTTTACACGTCTTGCAGTTAAACAGGATAGAAGACTGAGGACTCGAGCAGCATGCAATGCTTTCGACTAAAGTTAGGCACTATGGAGCCAGTCGAGACCCGATGCTTGATGACTGCCGCTAACAAACTTTTTCGCTGCCAGGGAAGCATGTTTTTTTAGGCATTTCATGATTGGAAAACCTAGCCTTCAGAGGAAAAGGGCGAGGCGAGAGTCACAAAGATGAAACACGATTGATTAGGTCTCCTAGGCGCTAAGAACCGATGCAAACTACGTATGTACTCGTATACAAGGAACGGAAGTTACCAGCAGTAGACGTGTAGATAATGAAGCTCGCTAGCTACTGAAACGTGATGAAGAAAAGCGGCCATGTCTTTTAAGTTGTCGTATGAGCAAACTGAGCTGACCCAGAGCTGGATACTTCAAACAAACCGATAATTCTCTACCATGCTACAATTTGAAACAATTACAATACATGTATATATATTCAATGGCTTAAATCGTATTTGCAACCCGTTTGCTTTAACGTCATCCGTTCGTAAACAGTTCTCCGACGTGCACAGCCGCCACAGGCATACGTCCTTCCAGCCGAACATCTCACGATTCACAAGCTGACATATTGCCTTCCCTGCGTGCAAATAATGAGCAATTCGCTGATTCTAACAATTGTTCCTACCGACCACTCTTCTAATACCCCTCCCTCCTTCCCCTTCCCCCTCCCCCTTTCCTTTCCCACCGGTTCAATAGCGTAACAGAATATATATGTGCGTATCAGCACACATTTATTAACATATATATATGCCTAAACTTCTATGCGTCCCTACATTATTCTCCTTATGGAAAACCTTCCTTGCTAGCTCATAAATGCCGAGATCGTTTAGGCTGTTTCAGCCATTCTATTGTTTCAGCCAGCCAACCAGCCTCCGCAGCGATGACGCTCAGCTGCGGCCGCACCGTGGGCAAAAGGCATGTGCATCAAACGATCGCCATTAGATTTTGGACCAATGGTGACCCGTCAGTATGCAGGACCAACTAGGATCCCGAAAAGGCTCAGAAGGTTGTGTGTGCTCCATAGAAGCGCGGTTGCGACCTGTTATTATACGTAAATCCAAGGAAAGCGAGCAAATGCAATGGTGCAACAGCTTTCCTGTGCTTAAAGCTAATGTGCATCGCGTAGTAATGACCAACTATGTGTATATGTTTCTCCGCTACGTTCAGTTGATAGGTAGATAGATATCAGTGGCTGAACCAGGAAGTGCCCTTAAACTTGAACCAAAAAGTAAACATTGTATTGAAAGTCAGTGGAACGCTGATGGCAGCATCGATGATGGCATGATTTCCACATATCGTCTCCTATAATTAGCTGTTCGTGTGTAGCAAAATTACCAAATGGATCTGTGATCTTTGTATGCCAATAGAAGCTTTCAAGTGTCTTCATAACAGAGTGTGTGTGTGTGTGGTTCATAAACGATTTACTTCAAGGTCTGTACCGTTTTGGTGCCGCATATTTTTACTATACTCAGCTGCTTCGCTGCCGACACGATATTTGTATGCTAGTTTTTTAATCGTTTCTTCTGTTCGTTAGATTTGAACAGAATGCCAATTTCAGCTTGCAAAGAATGAAATCAATCTCTCAAAACGTGCTCTTGACTGGGCACATTTTTTCTGTCCTCTAGAAAAATTCAAGCTATATTATCATTATTATAACTGTTCGTCAACTCAATCTCTAACTGTATATCGTATCTATATACGTGGTAGTTCGCTTGGCGTCCATATGTGCCCTATGAGTACCACAGTATTTGCTGCTTCCTATAGCTGCCTGCTACTGCTCATTGTGCACGTCGTTTGACCTGCCTTCTTTGGACCCAGTCCTGCACAGCTCGCATAGACAAGATGCTTGCCTACTTCCGAACGCCCTTGTTCACGCTACCTAATATCGCTAATCTGCTCTGTGTTAACGGGTCTGCCGTTTTAGGAGATGATCTTTCTTTGATTTCAATATATTCACGTTCGTTCCCTAGCTTTCTCCTCATAATAGCACTAATAGTGGCTGTATTCTTCGCGTATAGCTTTCTGTTGCTGTTATCATACTGCTCATTGGTATCGGTAACTTGGGACGGTGCTGCTCTCCTGTCTTATACTGCTCGTTCCTCTCCAGATAGCTTTCACCGTTTATGTTTGGCTAATGTAGAAGTTAGTGACCGGCTGGGGTCAAGTGGTCTTGTTTGAAATCAAGCCTGTGTGCGTGTGCGGGGCTCGTGTGCGTTAAACTGCGTGAGTGTGGCGCAAGTTTAAAGTCAGCACCTTGATTGATACACCCTCTTAACAGAGCGGCAGCGGTGCGATGCGCGACGATGGTCCTGCTGCTATGATAGTAGCTAACCGAGATGTTGAGATAGACTTTGGTGGTAGTGGCGAAGAGCATGACCTCGTCATCGTACAGAGTAACGTTAGCGGAACACTCGCCACTGCCATGGCGCTAACTTTAGACAGAAACGTGGCTGCAGGAAACTAGCAGCCGCTGCCGCCGCCAATGTTGGCCTACCAACACCGCAAAAGCTACGTTGAGTGTTCATCGGCTCCAGATTCAGCGTTAGTTGGTCCCTCAGTCGTTCGTTGGCTAATACGCGCCTTACCACTTCCTAAAAATCAACTGGGCTAACACTCGCGATGAACCCCAGAACGGTCTCCGGTTGAAAGCGAAGGCTAACCCTTCAAAGCTTTACTATAGTCATGCTAGTATTCCGTCACGCGGGTAAAGAAAAAGATTAGGGCTTTTTCTCCTCACTCACCAATCTCTCTCTAGTCATTATTGCCTTCATTCCTTAGCCCGATCACTAGGCCGCTCCTGAAACTTGGCCGTTGTTTCCTTATGGCTCGCAGCTTCGCGGTCCTTCTCCGAAGGCCAGGTCAGATGTGCATAAGAAAAATTGGTTGTAAGAAGAAAGACAGGTACGTCGTCTGGTCGTTTTTTAATTTGCTGATAGCATACCAATATAAGGAAAAGCTGCATGCCACGCGGAAGAGTTGTGGTCGTTAAACCGATTTGTATGAAGGATTTGTAATGACCGTCGTCAAAGTTTCGAATCTATAAGGTAATTATTTTAAGAACTTGGTCGACCTAATACCGTAACGCAAACTTTGCCATTAACCGAGGTCCGACAAAAAGGCTTAAGAAACGACCTGTAGTCATATAATTAACCTTATATACGTGCATGAACAAAATACAGATGGACGACTGTGCTAACATTCGGCATACCTCGGATCTTGCTTCACTCTAAAATAATGGTCGAAATGAACGGATACAGATACAGCACTGCCGGTTGTATTGATGTGCGTTACGCAACAACGATTTCAGGGTCATGTCGTCTTATGTCAGTATCCTGTCAATTAGCACGTTTTTTGCAAATTCACTTTTTTTTAAGCAAGCATATAACGACGTGTGCTAACGTCGTACTTTCCGCGTCTGTAATAGTCAACTAATTCTCA